TGAAAGCAGCTTTGATGTGCAGTGTAATAATCATTTATTCTTTTATTAAAATTTGTGCCAGGGATACCAAGAAACTACTCAGAGTTTGGGAGTGGCAAGGTATCATCAGCAGAAGGCATAAATACAAGTAGCATGAGTCATTTATTCTGAAAAACTGCCAAGGATCCTAAGATATTATTCAGGTAGTGGACCTGGCAGGTAGCAGGAGCCTTGGGGTGACAAAAATTACAAAAGCAGTAGGTATAGGTGCACAAAAAAGTGAGACATTTGTTCCAAAATATTGTGCCGGAATACTAAAATTTCACTCAGAGTTTGGGCCTGGGAGGCGGCAGGAGCCTTCAGGTGTTAAGGTAGCAACAGTAGTAAGTATAGGCGCACAAGCAGCAAGAACCAATTGTGCCTGGTATACTAAGATACTGCTCAGAGTTTGGGCCTGGCAGGTATCAGGAGCCTTGAGGTGGTCAAGCAAATCGGCCTGGGTTTGGTTGTGGGGTTGTTCATTGAACGCATTTGCAAATGGGAACTTTAATTCAAAACCCAGTTAAGTCTATAGTGGTAAATTTTGAGCATCACCTCTGTCCATTTTTAAGTCTAATAGTCAAGGCATTTCCAAACAAAAGGTATGTGGAGCTAGGCACTCCTATGGGAAACATGTACCAAACAAAAAAAATACTGTACAGCAAGGAGAGGGTCTCCTTTTTATCTGACTTTAAGGGGTTGATTTACTAACCTTATAAACACACCACGAACATGTATACACCTCTGTAGTGTGTTCCCTCCCAGCATGATCTATGGGTGGAATCTAAACATCTTTGTAGTGTGTACACACCCAGCAGGTGTGTTGTGCAAAGCCCTGCCCTGAATTGCAAGGTGATGTTGTGTAAATTAGCTCTACATTGTGTTGCTTGCGTTGATGAATGCAGGAATGTAAATGCATGAGCTAACCATTTTTGTCTAAACTGTGAAGCAGCATTATATATGCATCATGTGCATGATTTTTCCATATATGGCATTAGTGGAAACATGCTTATAGAGACTTTTTGGTTGATAAATACGCTTTGCTGTGTAAAAATCACACGCACCTGGTGCGTGCGTGTGTTTAGGTTAGTAAATCACCCCCTAAGGGTCACATAGAAATGAAAGCATTCCTTTCTATTAAAAGCTTCAGAGATTAATAGTGTTATCTGGTGTTATGGAACAGTACGATTAATTTTTTTTTAACCATTTACCTTGGCTTAAATACAACAGCAGCACCCCATGCTGACTCATTTGAATTTGAAAAATAGGATTTTTTGGGAATCACTATAAAATTATTTTCTGATTGCTATGTAACTTAGTGTCAGCAGCTGTGGAGGGCATTTTGGTCACCAGCTCTGCTTTACTTAATCACCAACTGGTCCCCTGTTGGTAGCCAAAACGCCCTCCACAGTTGAAGACACTCAGTTGCATGACATACCAGTGCAAGAAAAGATAACATAATTATGTATACATACATACATACATACAAAAGCAAGCCAGGGAGGGTCATTCCACAAAAGTTTTCCTCTACCTTTCCTATTTTCATGATTTTATCAAGGAGTGTAAGCGACTGTCTTAGCTCTTTAGTTTGCCATGGCATTATCCCTTTAAGGAGAAGCTTACTAAAAAAGGCCATCTCTGCCTGTGGTAGATCCTTCAGTCCTGTTTAAATGAAAATATAGTGATTTGGACCGTGGAGAATTTTACTTCCATTAAAGACCCTATAGATAGAAAGGTGGAAGCAGAAGCTTTATTCATGTACATATTTGTAGGATCAATAATGCATCTGGCTGTAGCTTCAACAGTGGTTTCTCAAACCCTAACAGAGTGGGCAAAACTATTACACAAGGGTTTAGGGGAGGAACAAGTCCCACAGGTTTATGTGGAATTGACGGAGCACCTGGTACAGGGCTTAAAGTATGTGGTGTTGGATTCGGGTTTCTTGGCATCTAGGCGGCCAACCTCTGGAGTGGTAATTTAAAGGTTGCTGTAGCTGTGCAATGCATGTCAGCTGACCAGACTTCTAAGAAGGCTTTTAAGGATATTCCATTCACAGGGGGTCAAGTACTTTGCCTCCGCTTAATAAAGCCAAGGCAAAGCTGGGCCTACCCTTTCAGCTCCTAAATGCATTTTTGGTTCATGAGGAAGTTTGTACAAAGGATTTAAGTTTCTTAAGCCCTCTATCTCCTCAGGGGCAGGCACCCCTGGTAGTCCAAGCCCACCAAATTCACAAAGAAGCCTTTGCATGAGTTGTTACCTTTCTAATTCAAGGTTGGCATATGACTTCTGGCATTTGCGGATTACTGGCTAGCCAATGTGTCAGACAAATGTGTTCGTAAACTAGTAGCCTCAGGGTACAAGATACATTTTATAACACCCTCTGCAGAACTTTTTTTTTACCTGGGCCTCTCTCCTCAGTGGTTAGCAGACTTGCACCTGCTCATCAAGGGACTTCTGGCCCAGGTAGTGATAAATCCTGTTCTATCTGCAAAAAGATTTCAGGGTTTTTGCGGTGCCCAAGAAAGGCAGAGTACATCTGCTTCTAGATCTTCTAGAACTTGAAGGTTCAAGTTTGAGTTAATATGTTCAATGGAGGCGTCCCTGCATCAGGGACAAATTTCTGGCATCCATAGATATCAAGTATGTATCAAGTATGCATACATTCATGTACCCATATACCAGGAGCACCAGCGATTCTTGCGCTTTGTGGTCTGGAAGGAACACTACCAATTCACAGCCTTGTCATTCAGCTTAGGCACAGCTGCTCAGCTGTTCACCAAAACTTTTGTGCCAGTGTTAGCTGCCTTAAAGTCAAGAGAGATACTAATCATGAGGTACCTGGATGACCTCCTATTGTTGGCAGAGTCTCATTCGGAACTGGAGTCCAGCCTGTCTATCACCACTGAAAGCTGAAGGAGTTCTGGTGGATCCTATATCTTAAAAATTACTAATTTACTTCATCACTTCTCCTGGAATGCTCAGGGCTGATCTTAGACAGCAGCCAGGGCAAGCTGTTCCTTCTAGTTGGAAAAGCTATGGAAGCTATGGCTTCACATTCGCCTACTGTGAGCTTGCCATTGGTAATCCATTTCCCAATGTATATGAATGTTGGGTCTCATGGTAACATCCTTTGAGGCATTTCTCTAAGCACAACTTTACACCAGAACATTGCAGCATGAGATCCCATCACAGTGGATCACTGGAAAGGGAGAGCAAGGTAAGTCACTTTACAAAGTAATTCTTGGTTTGGTTTCTCTGCTCTGCTAGTAGCCAGGAAGTAATCGCATCCTCTGCACTGGACAATAGCGATGTTGGATGTTAGCCTGCATGGCTGGGCAGGATTTCAAGCAATTATATGAATGCACCTCCTGTAGGCAGGGCCAAAAAAGGGTGGTAGAGAAGCCCTCCTGTACCGAGCCAGGGCCTCATCAGGCCAGCAGGGTGGCTTAGGCTCGGCCTGAAATGTTTTTCTTCCCTTTTTCCTTCCCTCTGGCTCTTTTTCTTCTTTCCCCACCCATCTTCCACCATACACATCCACCCTGCTCTTAGCAACCAGGATGCTCTGGCCAGCATCCCATCCAGCTCTTGGAAATCAATGATTGGTTGCTAGGAGCCAAATGCGACACTGACCAGAACATCCCAGGTTACTAAGAGCGGGGTGGATGTTCATGGTGGAAGATGGGCGGGGAAAGAAGAAAAAGAGCCTGATGGACCTGAGTGGGAAGATGTGTATGGGCTTGTTCACCCCATAAAATCATACATATTATTCTCTTTTTCACACCAGCAGCCACATTGAACCGCATGGCTGCTCGTGTGCATGTGCCCAGGCAGTGCTGATGCACTCGATCGAGGCGCATTGCACTTTCTTTTTGTTAGAACTTTACTGAAATGCCACAAGTGACATTTCATTAAGTTCTATGAGTACACCGCAGTGTAATGTGGTTGTACTTAAGTACTGCATGCTGTAATTTGTTTTAAGTGCATTCCACCACTCCGGGGGGCTCTGCAGGGTCTATGGTGGGATCTGCAAGGTCTATGGTGGGCTCCGCTGGGTCTCAGGGGGGCTTTGTAGGATCTGTGGTGGGCTCAGTAAGGTCTATGGTGGGCTCTGCAGGGTCTCAGGGAGGCTTTGCAAGATCTGTGGTGGGCCCTGCGGGGTCTAAGGTGGGGGTCAATGGTGGGCTCCGCAGGGTCTCAAGGAGGCTGTGCAGGATCTGTGGTGGGTTCCGCAGCCTGCAGAGCCCACCATAGATCTTGCACAGCCGCCCTGAGACCCTGCAGAGCCCACCAGAGATCCTTCACAGGTGACTAGGCTGAAGGGCAAGGCGGCAAATTGAAAGTGTTCCTATACTATCGCAAAGCACAAGAATTGCTGGTGTCCCTAGTAAATTGGTAAATGAAAATATGCATCCTTCATTTACATTCAAGGCTTTGAGATCCAAAACTAAATTAATTTCTCACTTCTTGGGAGCTGTGAAGAGGTTTGAGTCAAACCCCCTGTAATCTTTCTGCAGTTGAAACAGTATTTCCTGACGCCTACATGGCAGTATACAATGGGCTGCCCTGGCAAGTAAGTGCCATTACTGGCCTATGGGTGCGCCAGGGCAAAACTCTATAGCTGACCGCCATAGGGTTAGAGGGGAACTTGTGGATGTAACTGCTTGACTGGGCTAGTAATTGACAGAGAATAAAGAGGCAGAAAGGTGCAGGTCTGAAGCCTTAAACAGGTGATATACTTTATGAACTGCCAATTACTAGCCAAGTCAAGCAGCTACATGCACAAGTTCCCCTCTAACCCTATGGCGGTCAGCTATAGTTTTGCCCTTGCGCACCCATAGACCAGTGATGGCACTTACTTGCCAGGGCAGACCATTGTATGCTGCCATGTATTGGCGTCAGGAAAGGAAAATTACCGATAGGTAAGTATAGAATTTTCCAATTTTTTGCTCCCAGGGCCAGAAGTCCCTTAAAGACCAGGTACAAGTCCACTAACCTTTACAGAGATAAGCACAGGTTGCAGGAGAAAAAAATCTTTGTGGAGGGGATGTATGACATTCTATTTGAACCCTAAGGCTACTAGCTTGCAAACCTCTTTGTCACATTGGCTAGCCAGTAATCCACAAACCCCAGAAGTCATCCTGCACCTTGAGGTAGACAGATGGGGCTAAAACATTATGTAGAAGAGGCGGGCTTCTCCACAAACTTGGTAGGCTTGGACTTTCGGGGACTCCTGTCTCTTGGGAAGGGCTTAGGGGACTTTAATCCCTTGTCCAAACTTCCTCACGAACAAAAAAAGCTTGTTTGGGCTGGAAAGATATCAGATTTGTGATGATAATCCTTCTAATTCTAGACATTCTAATCCAGTGACGCACCAAACAATCAATCCCCTGTGAACAGCATATCCATCTTAAAAGAGCCTTTTTAGAAGTTTAGTCAGCCTACTAACATTTAAGCCACAGCAACATGCAAATGACCATTGCATAGGCCGATATCCAGCACAGCATCTCATACATTAAGCCCTGTACCAGCTGCTTTGCAAAGTCCACATAAACCTGTGAGACTCATTCCTCCTATAAACTCTTAGGCACAGGATATTTCCACTTTATTAGGGTTTTTTGACACCAGCACCGAAAGCTACAGCTGGATCAGGGGCATCACCAAGCCGGGTGTCACACGGCACCAACGTCAATATGTGTACACGTGAGGTCATTACGCATCTGTGTATACGCATCAACGTCACGTGCACGTTACTGTCGGCGGCCATCTTAGTGATGGACGCCGGCAAGGAGAGGAGGGGACATTTATTCAGTGTGATAAGGTATGCCGCTGGGTCCCCTCTTCTCTCATGCAGCTGTTAGGCACTCAGCCCATGGCCAAGTGCCCGACTTTTCAGAGGGGGTGACACCAAAATGACTGTCAGTCTGTTTGGCATCACCCCCTCTGTTGATATCGCCTCATACCCCCTTGTGACGCCATTGAGCTGGATGCATAACCGATCCTGAAATCATGCACATGGATCTAGTGGACTGCTTTCTTTTTTGTGGGATTTTTAAAGGAAAAGCTCATCCTCCATCAGAATCTCTGTTGCTTTCTTTAAACAGGACAGTGAAGGATCTAACACAGACAGAGACACCCATTTTTTTTTAAAAAAGCTTCTCCTCAAAGGGATAACATGCTCAAATATGCTGTGGCAAATTAAATGGCCCAGGCAGTTGCTTTCATTCCTTCTAAAAAAAACAAACATTAAAATACGAGAGGTACCATAAAACTTGTCTTGTGCATTTCAAAAGCTATTTTTTTACTGGATGTCATAGCAGTGGAATCCCAAACTGACTTGATTAGTGTAGACATCACTGCCTTGAAGCGAGGCTGAGGTGGGCTCTTTGCTACCCAGAGGTGCAGACCCTGAATCCCTCATTTGTCACTGAGGCTGCACCCTCCATCTGGGATGACTCCTCCTAGTAATCCTGAGAGCACAGAGGGAAGATAACGGATATATAGAAAGTTTATGCTTCCAGGAGAAAATTAAAGGCAAATTGTGGTGAGTTGAATTTTATTCACAGGTTGACTTTAGCCAATTAAACATTTTTCATAGAGGGGCAGCAGATGGGAAGGAGTGTGGAGGTTAGAAATGTCCTGCAGTAGCATACATAATAGATTATAAAGGTTATTAGTATGTTACAATTCGGAGAAACCAAAAAGGGGAATGTTGTGGTAGCAGAGGAAAAACATGGCCATGGACTATTATTTCTGGTGTCTCCAGAGTTAGAAAAAGGTTTATTTTGGCGATAAAGCTGATATTTACCCTCCTTCCTCGAAGCACACATATTCATAGTGCATGCTGCTCTGAATGCATATCCCTAAACATCATTCAGTCATTCATACAATCAAATTACATTTTCCTGACACTTCCTGGTTTTCAAATTGCACTGATGACGAAACATGCGCAAGATCAGGTGATGCGTCATCAGTGGGCCAGCATGTAATAAAGAAGAAGCTGGCCACCAATGCCATTTATTTCAATGGCATAGGTTTCCCATGCACATGGGGGACTGATCAAGGGGACTGCAGAAAAAAATAAAAGAAAGAGGAAAGTAGCGATTATTGACTTTAATGGTTTTAAATTAAGAGTGCATTGCTGTTGTCAGTTTTATTAAGGGAGAAAGGGGCGGTGGGCAAGGAAAGCAGGACTTAGAAATGTATTGAATGTGATAAATACAGACACAAAAGTGTGAGGTAGATAGAATGCTACACCACTGAGTGTTTTATGTTTTACACATTTAACAATGAATGCCTTAACGGATTAGTGCTGTTTACTTAAGGCAACAAATTCATGAATATGCTTAAATATCTGTTAGAGATTAACTTTCTGTCTTTGTAGTTTTCTATAAATGAAAAAAAGAAAGTAATTATAAATCAGAAACCTCATTCTTTCCTAACCAACTGTTTTTCTAAGGATGTCTGCAAATGTGAATATTAATGCTGGCATAAGTGAATAAACACTTTTCTGGGGTGTATAAAAAGAAGACTTTTTTTTTAACCTCCTGAGTAGGGGAACACAACATTTCAGCAGATACAGCTATGTCTGGTAAAGAACTTACAAAGGTCCCAAATGGACAGGACAGACCAAAATGGGATAACAAAATCCAGTATCTTTTGACATGTATTGGATTTGCAGTGGGCTTGGGAAATGTATGGCGATTTCCATATTTATGCCAAACATATGGAGGAGGTAAGCACATTTAAACAGATTAATGTAGGACTTTGTAGGCATTTTAAAACTTAATTTAATCACCTAAAGGTCATAGGATTTGTACTCCTATGTGACCAAAATGTTATTAATCTAATGTAATTGTGCATCTTTTTGTAGTATTTTAAGATCGGTCGAAGGCCATGAATACATTTACTTTCATTTTACAGTGTGGAATTTGAATTTTTCCAGTACAACTACATATTAAGCACATCCCCAACAAACGAAGTTTTGTTCTCCTGAATACAGGGATAACTCATAAAAGCACCTTTTTTTGCAATGTGGTGGAGGTAGATGGTTTATTATAACTTCTTCCCAGGTAGCCAGTGTTACCTCTAGATCACTTAATTTAATGTGTAGAAAAAAATGACAGAGCGTTCCAGCACAAGGCGCCCACTGCAACTCTGAAGAATGCTCTAGGTCTTACCCGAAGCCTTGCAGGATCCAGGTATGGACTTGGTGCTGTCCCCACTGGCAATGGCACCCTAGGCCATGGTCTATGTAGCAGCCCTTCCCTTTCAATGTGCTTTCAAGGCCAGATTGCCCCCACTTGACACAGCTCACACTAGAAGCCAATGGGTTTCTGAAGGTTGAATGAGACACCAATAATAACCCAAGAAGCTGCCAAATATGAGGTTTTCTACATTCTTTATGAAAGTATAAAACCTCTTTAAAGGGCTAGTTAACACCAGGAGGCTGAGCTGCGTTGATTAGCTTTGAAAACACATAGAAAAAGCAATGTAGGGAATTTATCGACACTCATGCAGACAAAATCTGGAGCAGATTTGCACTGCAGTCAATCAGCTTCTCTCTCTCATTTTCAAATCTCACCTGAACAAACTGAAGAGAGAAGCTGATTGGTTGCCATGGGCAACTGCTCCCGATTCTGTCTGCCCTAGTTTTGATAAATTCTCCCCAATATTTTTATATGTGCCATGTCTGCATTTTTACACAGCACAACTCGTCACACATTTCAAAATGTGCTCTGGTGAATAGACATTTGTGACATTTCTATAAATGAAAACAATATTCAGTTCAGTATCTTAGTTCATCATTTAGAAATGCTAATATTGAACTGTAGACATTTAATATTGTGGAGGTTGTGGAGAGGAAGAGAGAGTATGTGTACTTATATATGTGATCTGTGATGGATCCCATATATATATTGTAGAGGTGCGTGGCAATGTCACGATGTAATTTGGCAACACAGCTACCCAAAACTCTGTTAGAGAGGCTGAGAGGTTCCAGGATGTGAATACTTTTGCATGGAAGAAACTGGCTTCTCAGTTTCTTCCAGGTTTTCTGGACTGTAGTGGAGTGGAATCTCTAGTCCTGGGGTCAGGTGTTGCCAATGACCAGTCTAGGAGGAACAGGTGGCTGAGAAGAGCCTTATTGAGAGTCTGGAACAGAGCTCAGGGGAGTTGTGGGTGTGCAGGAGAAACATGGCTACAGGCAAACTCTGTTGCATATGTGGAACAGCCGGGGAAGGCTGGGTGAGGTCAAGAGGGTCAGCGACACCTAAGGGACCTGTCGGAAAGCCTCAGTGACCCATGAGGGGTGAGCAGTGCCAATATCACACAGTTGTGTGTTAAGATGTTTGGAGCTGAGGAAAGCGATACTGAGCACTGTATTTGCGGAGAAATATGGTAAAGTCCTGAGACTAACACGCTGGGAGTGTATGGGACAGCCTGATGTCAGTGAGACAGAAAACACGATGTTTTGATGAAAGTCAAACAAACTGTTATGTTTCGTTATGCTGAAGAAAAGCGGATTATTAATTGAAATGCATTGATTGTTGGCCTTTGTGTGAATAAAACACTGTCCTTTGATGTTAAAGACAGCTTTTTTTCAGTTATATGTCCTATGCTAAAAAAGCTTATTTAGGTGTGGGTGATCATTTTTTTGCTGGTTTTCAGATGTTATGAGGCTTCCTCTCGCCGTACATTATTTATAAAATGGGTATTGCTTTTAGTGTAGTATAAATTTCCCTTCGCATCTCCTCCTTTCAACATCTAATGTGAAGTAAAGGGCCATTAATGAAGCCATTACCATTCATAGCGTAAAAACTGAAATTTATAAAGTACTGTAATCTTGAAGTATTCATAGGCATCATAGATCAATGCCTTTGCATTAAATTTAGGAAGCCAATTAAATGTTATTTTAACACTACAAGAGATAACTACTGGTTTTTGCCATCCATTGGCACCACTCAGCTCCGAGTCATTTATTGCTGGAATTCTGCAGAGTTTTAAAAGATCTTAGGCTTGCAAAGGCCTTTAGTTTTCCATTTCAAAGATTTTATTTGTTTTATAAACATATACAAATATACATCAACATCGACAGTCTGCAAGGATAAACCTATACTAAAGTATAGGCCTTTAGTTTTCATGCAAAGCATGGTGAGGGACTATTGTGGTTCTTGATAGCTCTTTTTAACCATGCATATACATAGTGTTGTCTATTATTGTTTCATATTTTTTCATATTTTATCCCTGTATCAGAACACATGCAGTTTTATAACTGCAACATGTGGTGATAAGGCATTCAAGGAGTTCTGCAAGCTGTGTAAAGCATGGTTCAGATTCTCTTGGGTTCAGGACCTCAAGTCTGTCTTATATCAGCAAAGAGGATCCTAGTACAAGCGTTATTCAGCACAGTTTCAGTGTTAAAGCAGCCTTATTTATTTTTGCTGAACAGGTATGGTAAACTACACTGCTACTACTACTGATACGAGTAAGCCCTTATGCCAATGCTTATCAAAGACCTATTGCTTCATTGCAACTTGCAGAAATGTGTTTATTCCTTGGATGATAAAAAGAAGTGAGGCAAAACTTGTTTGTGCTTGTTTGTTTAAAACACAAAACAAAAGCTCCTACTGTATATGCTGACTTTTTTTCTTACATGTTCTTTTTCTCTTCTGGCTTTTCCCATTTTTGCACCTCAGTGCCTCCCTGCAACACAAACTCTTGTTTAGCAATGCACTGTACCTGGAAATCTCTGTGTCCCAGTCCCCCCTCCCCAACACATGAGTACCCTGCAACAAATGCCACTGCCTCCATAAAAACAGCTCAGGTCCAAAAAATCCTTGGAAATGTCCCTAGGTCTACATCCTTGGCACAGCAGCAGATTGTATATGGAAACTCAGCAATACCCCTTGCCAATATCACTACTGCCCATCTTCTATTCAGCATCGAAGTGTTCCAGCAAGTAGCTAAGCTTCATTGCTTAAAGTAAAACTGAAGCCAAAACTTTTTTTTTTTAATTCTGTATCGAGATAGAGTAAGGATTAGCCATCTGTGTCCTGTGGGGAGATTTTCACTGCCTGTCTAATAAGAACATCAGAAAGCTCAGATCAAGTGTCAACAGATCAAGTGTCTAGTGTCTCCTTTTTCTTTCAAGTCCACTGATGAGGATCACCAGGACATGGGCTATTCCCACAGTTGGTTCTGTGGTGTCCCACCAGTGATCCTGCCATTGATGCACCAGTATTTAAGGATCCCATAGATTAATGTTGAGAGTAAACCAGGGGTCTCAAAGTACTGGCCCATGGGCCGGTTACATTTGACTTGTCAATAGTGGGGTAGAGCCAGCCCTTCTGTACCTGGAAATCCTTCCTCCAGCCTGCGGGCATGTGAATTCTGTAGGCCTGCACACATCTTTAAATGAATACAATAGGTTTGGCGTTGTTGAATTTAATGTATTAAGAGCCTGGCTATATGAGCAGCAAGCTAGTGGAGTGACTAGCAGCTTGCAGCACTGTGCTCCTGGAATCACTTCCGCTGGGAATATTACTAATCATTTTTAAGTCTCAAGGAGCCCTGCTCAAATTAATACATTGGGGGTCAGTAGAAACAATGCCCCCTTCCCCCGTTTGGTAGTCAGTGAAAAGTATGCCCCCTTGCATTACTTGTCAGTGGTAAAATCCATCCCCTTGCATTGGGGGTCCATGTTAAGAATGGCTTACCCCTTGCATTGGTGGTCAGTGGTAAGAATGCTCCTCTTTACAGTGGTGGGATGAATTCAACCTTTACAGAGAGTGAAAAAGATCATTGGTGTCGTGCCACTGTGCCAAGTGTCTGTCTCTCCTCTCTCCCTCCTGGCTATCTCTCCTTGCTTCCTCCCCTAGCTGTTTCCTTGTTCTCTCCCTTGGCTGTCTCTCCTCGCTCTCTCTCCTGGCTGTCTCTCTTCATGCGGCCCCTGTGGAAGAAGAAACCATACCGAGTGGCCCTCAGGTCATTTGAGTTTGAGAACCCTGCTCTCACAAATCAGCAAAACCTATGGTAAGGGATCCAGCTTTACTTCACAATAATTTTTTTAGTGATTAGAGTTCATGTCTGCACTGCTAGATGGGTTAGCGGATGTTCGCTGTCTTATTTCCTGTACGGGTCTCCTATCAGTTAATATGCAGAGAACTCTTTGGTTGAAAAGTTAAGCTGCGTAACAGGCATGTAAAAAGCTCTTATGGTTCATGCCCTTTGAGCAACAACATCTCTTTAGAGCTGCCTTGGACACCCTCGTCAAGGAACTGGTGGAAAGTGTAATCATCAACTCTAGCAGAAGACACATATATGGAAGAAACAACAGGATCCCACTTGATTACACATGAGGGATAAGCTGAGAAACCATATAATCAAATAAATATTCTTCAAACAAGACTAGCGTAAAGTATAAAAAGTCAGTTTATTACAAGAAAAGATATAACCATAATTTACCAAATGTGCACACATAAGTCCTACTCCCCAACAATAACAAAACCCCTACCTGTTTTGTTTTATTATTTTTGGGGAGGGGTGCACATTTCATTAATTATGATTATATCTTTTCTTGTATTAAATTGACTTTTTATACTTTACGCTAGTCTTGTTTGAAGAATATTTGTTTGATTATATGGCTTCTCAGCTGATCCCTGATGGGAACCTGTTGTTTCTTGCATATTTGTTTAGAACACAGAGAACAGCTGACAAACCAGGAAGTGTTTACTGTTGTACAATTTAGTGTCCTTCAAAATGGAAGGACATCTCTTATATTTTGAGGACATCTGGACAACATCTCAGATGCCTTGGCAAGGTAGGTGGTTTCAACAGGCTACAAACTAAAGTTCCTACACCCCTCCTCACTCTATGTCTTCCAATCTACCTGTATCACTGCTCAGATTAGCAGACCTCCATGGAGCCCTTGCGAGTCCTCTGTGAATGTCTTGTTACACTCCCAGGGTTTCCCCATTGCGGAATACTCGGACAACCTCCTGTTGAGGGAACAGTTGCAACAAGTCCTAACCAATGTGGTGCAGACAGTTTAGACCCTGAAAAGGTTCAGCTGGGTTCTGAATCTTCAGATGTCTGCATTGGAACCATCTCATCACTTGGAATATCTGGGTCTTTTGTACACAGCTCAAGCCACGGTTTTCCTTCCAGCAGAAAAATGTCAAAATGTCAGCTTAAATACTCAAATTCTTCAGTTCAAGATTCGGCCTACTATTCATTTTTGCAAGCAAGTTCTGGGGATACTGGTAGCACCTTTCAAGGCAGTCCTGATTGCTCAATTTCACTACAGGCCCCTGCCCCTTCCTTCCAAAGGTGATTTCGAACTTTCACCTCTACTACGACATTGTGTTTCTGTCCCTTTGTTCAGTCCCAGAACATAAGAAGGAGATTCCCCTCATTGTTTGGATGTAGTTTGTGATGTGAATGTCAACCTCACAGCCACTCCTTCCATTAGAAAGACTGACTCCCTCTTTGTTTCCTGATGATCCTTTTTTAACCAGGTGCATTTTCAGGCCTTATCTGTTGGCGTAGAACATAAGCTCCTGTAGGCAGTTTTTTGAGCTGCAGGCAGTCCAGAATTGCTTTCCACTGTTATCAGTTGCTGTTTTGCCCACTCAGCTAGACTGCTTTTGGATATTCCAACTGTCTGTAAATCCTGAGAATGAACAAAAAAATTATTGTATTTATGTACTCACCATAAAATCCTTTTGTTGAAGTTAATTGAGGGATACCCCTCTGTGTTTCTTGTCTACTCTCAGCACCGTTTTTTTCTAAGCTGGTCACTGTTATTTGCTTGCCATTGTCTAAATCCTCCTGGTGGTAGCATTATACTGAAATTATCTCTGAATCCTGTGTCCCTCAATGAACTCTCAAGGAAACATATTATATGTGAGCTTTCTGTACATACACACAAATAAAGAACTAAAATTACATTAAAGAAGGTGAATTGCTTCATGCCATTATCTATAAAATTATTGCTAATGTTGATAATGCTTACTACTGAACAAACGTTTCTGTTTTATGTTTAGGTGCTTTCTTAATTCCATATTTCATAGCTCTAGTATTGGAAGGAATACCTTTATTCCACCTTGAACTTGCAATTGGACAACGATTAAGGAGAGGAAGTATTGGAGCATGGAACACAATTTCACCATACTTGGGAGGCGTTGGTATGCATGTATTATCTCAGTAATACACTTACAGTTTGTTAGGCAGAAATGCAGCCATCATGGAAGCGACACATGGCAGTTCCATTGTACATAGAATTTAGAGGGCAGTCGCACATTTCGATCACTGATAGACAAGCTTTTTTTTTGGGTAAAGCCTTATTAATATTTATAAACATAACAGATACATCAGATTCATAAGAGGCACAGACCAACATCAAGACACCAATAAACAGCTATTGAATACTAGCAAGATGTCATGTAAATTGTATGCTAAGCCTAGTTCATAAAGAAAATAAACCATTGAGAACCATTGCATGTGTCAATGTCAGAACTTTCTCTCTGATAAAAACCAGTATTTAATTTATGAAAACAGGTAGGGATCTAAAATTAAGGAGATTCCCTACTAATTTTCACAATTTAACTGATAACCTAATGTTATCACTAATTTGAAGACGAAGTAAAAACAATAATGTGCAAAAATATATATATTTATTAACGATAAAATCAGTGCAAAATAATCAAAATATAAATCGGTGACAATAGATAATAAGGATCAAAATATGCCATGCTATTTACTTAGCAAGTATAACGTTATGAAGTTTAAAACCACCGGATATAATTCAAATGTTAATAAAACAGAACCATGTATCTAAGAAAAGCAGCTAATTAAACTCTCAGTATGAAGCGACAACAAAAAAAATGTGCATATTTAACATGTGACCTCTCCCACCAAACAGACATTCAGGGTTAGTTCACACCAGATCCGTGTGCATCTGTGCAGCTGCAGTGCAATTCGTTTTGACTTGCTTTTATTGCTTTTTGTTGCAATTCGATGTGGATTTTTTTCAGATGCAAATTAGACCATTATGTCACTTCCTTCTTTCTGTCCGAGCACTTCCAATTCTGCTTTTTCTTCTCATTTTGGATGCGTTCCATTCAGATGCGTTTGCATGCAGTTTTGATGCATTCCGTTGCAATCCGATGCAGCTAAAATGAGGCCAGCAGGATTTTTTCTTACTGCTTTGGAACAGACTGCACTGGTGTGAACAGAGCACCAGAAATCCCATTGGAAAGCATGGTGACGCAATTTGGATGCAGCTGCAAAACTAAATGGATTGCATCACAACTGCATCTGGTGTGTACTAGCCCTCAAAGCTCAAAGCCCTTACTGTGCGTGCATGATCTAATATGTTATATTTCTGAGCACAGGACTAGCTAAATTGTTAAAAATCTACCTGTAAAGAAATTAAACAAATATCCACAAAGCTATTATATATATATATATATCAGGGGTGCCCATTAGGTCGATCGCGATCTACCAGTCAATCACAAAGCGATCCCTGGTAGATAGCAATGTCCTTTCCTCCTGCTGTGGGGCTTCTCTGGGGCTTCTCTGGATCCCCGCTGCTCTCCCCAATCTGTATGCAGCGGGGATCCGAGGATAAGCGAACGAAGCGCTGCAGCCGGCGGCAGAAGACGGAGCCGCTATCACAGCAGAACGCCGAGCGGTGAGGAGAGAGAGCCAGAAGCGGAGATCCAGAGGAGAAGCTGTGTACCAATCCTCTGTGCAGGACAAACACTGGAGCGATCAGCTGATCACACCAGTGATTGTAAATAACTGGGGACACATACAGTAGTGCTATGTGTCCCCAGTTTTGAATGAACAGGAAGTGCTTTACATCACTTCCATGTTCATTCATGAGTTTCTCAATGGGGAGTAGCACTCTGTACAGAGATTCCTCCCCATTCAAAAACCGGATGATAGTAAATAGTATCTGAATGAATGGGAAGCCTCTGTGCTTTCCATTCATTTAGAACAGAGGCTGCAGAAAAAGAGAATGAGAGGCTATACTCCCGCGGTGCTGGTGTGGCTGCTGGCTGAATGTGTTAGATGCCGCACGTGGAAAAGGGCAGGACACCTCTCCCCGTGTGCAACGTTGGCCACACAAGCACTGCGGGAGGACAGGACGCCTGGCGCCTCTAGAACGCACTGGAATGCAAGCCGGCCGACTCCCTGCGTTCAGGGGCAGGAGGGGGCGTGGGGTTGTATTGAAGTCAATGGTACCTCAGCCAGGCCCCCCACCCACAATGCAATCGCCTGCCTGCATTCCGGTCCAATGCAATCTGCAAAAAAATATTTTTGCGTTCCGGGTGGGGGTGATCGCACTGTGGGTGAGGGGCGTGGCTGCGGTGCCATTGGCTTCAATGCACCGCCATGCTCCCTCCCCCCCCCGAATGCAGGTTTTTTTTCCCTGGTAGATCTCATTGAGCTTGTCATTTATCTGCGAATTAAAAATTGTGGGCACCCCTGGTATATACAGTATATATGTGTATATAGAAAGTCTATTGACTGTTTGAGAAAGTCTGAGCAAGAAAAAATATATTTCTACATACATTGAGGATGAGGGCATTTGTACTCTGGGCTGCACCTGGGCTGTTCTTCTTTCTCTCTAAAATGTATCGCCATGCAAATATCAAGAAATGTGCCATCATCCCACCCGGGGGTGGCTGAAAAGTATGCTTCATACCATGTTCATTCTTCTAAGTAAAATCAAGAAAAGACTATCTGTGTGGACTGGTTCATCTCCCTCCAACCTCTGAGAAGGTGGGGTTCTACAGGAGTGTGATGTTGGACTGTATCGTGGCTGTAACCATCCTGAGGAGGGTAGGTGTGCAAAGGGGCTATGCCCGACACAGGGTGCCGTTCATGGTGGCCTTTCTCCCTACGGGGGAGGAAGCGCTGAATACCGCAGAGGCGGTGGAAGCCATGAGGCCCTGTGTGCGCAGTACTACACGTGTGGGAGTGTTTGCACGAGGCCAGAACCGTGGCCCCTGACCGTGGGGTGCCTGGTGTCGTGTTGCATACACGGGGTTACACAGAGCCAACCCAAAGGGAACACACACGTAACAACCCAAGAGTGAACCCCGCCTACATGCAGATTATAGAAACAGAATAAAGAGTAGTTAGCCACAATATGCAACGTGTTTACTTATCCTAAAAAGCAAATGCATATTATATATCTCTATCAGCTGTAGCTCATATATCTAGTTATTTATCAGTTATTTATCAGCAGAAAACTGTGGTCAGTTAATATTTCAATACGAGTACTCGATATCCTGCTAGCTACTGTAAAGATAATTTTATATTTTGTTTTGCAGGTATTGCTTCATTGCTTGTGTCCTTTCTGGTGGGAGTGTATTATAACACTATTATAGCATGGATTTTATGGTATTTCTTCAATTCTTTTCAAAATCCACTTCCATGGAGCTACTGCCCTACAACAGATTACAATAACACAGGTAGTAACACCCTTGCAGCAATAAACGTCTTATAAACCATACTGAGGGGTAAATCTGTGCCACTAAGGCTATTGAGATACAGTAAAGAAATCTACAAAGACAATCTACAATGTAACAGAAGATGACTGCCTTGGACTATGTATTACGGTAGATGCTTCCTACATTGTGTGAATACCCTATTGCACATAGTGCCAGTGGCGTAACCAGAGTTCTGGGCGCCCGGGGCAGAAATTCTTTTTCGCCCCTCCCCCCCATTATATAAACAACCACTGGAACTGTACCCTGCACCTCCCCCCCACACACACATGTTTTTATTTTAATTTTTCAAATTTTAATATTTTATTTTTTTAGAAACTTTTTCATTTTTTTAAATTAATTTTTATTTATTAATTAATTTTTTATTAAATATTTTTATTTTTTACTTTACTTTTAGGGGCTTCGGGGAAATATTGGGGGTCTAAACAGACCCCTGATATTTCCCTTTAAAAATAGAAAAAGAGATTGAGGACACAGAGTCCTCAATCTCTTTTTCTGTGTCCCCTGTTATCAATGAACAGGAATCCTTTATGAGTGTTCCTGTTCATTGATAACATGGTATGTTTACTATAACTACAATTATGAATGAACAGGAGGAGATGTAGATCACTCCCATTCATTCATAATTGAGGATATAGTATACATACCAGGTCCTCAATTATGTACAAACACTCAGCGATCACTGAGTGCTTGTACCCGTTCTCCTCTCTGACACACACTGCCATAGGAGGCTGCAAGAGGAGAGCCCAGCCTCCTGTGACAGCGCTGGCTGTCTCCGCCCCCACACCGCTCTGCTGCACTGTGATAGGCGGCCGAGCGGTGTGGGAGGAAAGACACCGGCCGCTCACAGCGCTCGTCCCGCAGCGCTCGGCCGGCTGTCATTTTCTCTCTGATTCCTTTCATCCCTGCTGGGCACTGCTCTGTGTCCCAGCGGGGATGAAAGGAATCACGGCCGCGCCGACAAAACGGCAGGAAAATGTCACTTTCGGCATTTAGCCGAAAGTGCCATTTTCGGCCGGCGCCCCCCCTTCACTTTTCGCCCGGGGCCCGCGCCCCTGCTGCCCCCCCGGTTGTTACGCCACTGCATAGTGCCACTATAACAAAATTCCTTCTAACAGGATAAATTAATTCTCTTTAACAATCATATATTGCCAATACCTGCTATTTCTTGGCATTGGGGACTATATGCTCTTTTCGGTCTCCCTCACCTCCTGGCCAATCACAAAATGGAGCCTTTTGCTTGTATTTGGCCAGGAGATGTAGATGCAACCACATTGCTGAGGTCCATGAGACATACATCGCTACAGCTGAAGTGCGCATGGAAATTCAGTGTGAGCTGAACTTCCACCCAGAAATATACTTAAGATTTGTGGGGAGATGGAGGAATATCTGATTATGGCATGTGAGTTTACAACAAAGAGCCTCTACAACTTAGTGGACTGCAGTAACGGTATTGTGCCCAGAGTTGAGCTTTAAATTCTCTGGGAGGGCTATTACTATGAATAGCCTCAGACCGTGTCCAGAAGAAGCATACAAATCTCGCTCTTGAATGAAGTAATCCTCTATGATCCAACATGAGGCAGACCCGTCCACTTGTCTGTGAGTGAGAGTGAGAGGCCCAAAAACTGCACACTGTGTGCTGTACTTTCATTTAATTAGAGAAATGGATTATAATAGGGAGCATTACACTGTAATGTCCCCTATTATAATATATTTCTCTATTCCAGTGTTTGATAACATTTTGTACTTTCTGTGACACACACAGCCACCATTAACCCCACACAGTCCTGAGTTCAGTGTGTAGCTCAGCCCAGCTACTACAATAATAGTGTGTGACTGTGTGAGGACATTAGGCTCCTCACACACGCTCCGTGTAAGCTCCTCTGTACAGAGACTGATGTGACTGGCTGTGTTCTCTGTACAGCACTGGGGTATATGTCAGAGCTATATAAATGTATAATAATACTGTGAGACTGTGGGGGGATATAAGAGTGTAAGCTCTAATATCACCCCACAGTAAGCTCTGGTGCAGAGACCGCCGGGGGTTTGGGGGGCAAGTTTGTTCCTTAGGTCCGCCACTGTTTTTGCTGTTGGTAATAAGTGCAGTACAGCACTTGGTTAGGTCTAGGCCCCCTCCCCTGTAAATTGGTACCTTCCTGTACATGCAGGAAGGGGGATTTTCAGGAGGTGGAGCTTGGTCTGTAATGGGCTTTACCAAAGAGTGATCAAGGAGTGGAGCAGAGTCGCTTGAGTGATAAGGTTAGTGTTTTAGCAGCCCGATAATGGGGGTGGGGAGAGAGAGCCCGCACAGAGCCTGCAGCCCACCTGAGAGCCTACACAGCCCACCTAGCCCACCTGGGAGTCTCTACAGGCTTAGATGTGCTAGTGGATAGATGAAGGGCAGTTAGTGTTAGTGAATAGGGAGTGCGGTTAGTGTTAGCGAAAAGGGAGGGGGTTAGACTTAGTGATAAGGGAGTGCGGTTAGTGTTAGTAATAAGGGAGTGCGGTTAGTATTAGTGAAAAGGGAGTGCAGTTAGTGATAAGGGAGTGGGGTTAGTGTTAGTGAAAAGGGAGTGCGGTTAGCGTTAATGAAAAAGGAGGGCGCTTAGTGTTTAGTGAAAAGGGATGGCGGTTAGTGTTAGTGATAAGGGAGTGTGGTTAGTGTGAGGGATAAGGGAGTACGGTTAGGGTTTATTGAAAAGGGAGGGCGCTTAGTGTTTAGTGATCAGGGAGTGCGGTTAGGGTTAGTGGTAAGGGAGTGCAGTTAGTGTTAGTGAAAAGGGAGTATAGTTAGTGTTAGTGAAAAGGAAGGGCGGTTAGTGCTAGTGAAAGGGAGTGCAGTTAGTGATAAGGGAGTATGGTTAGTGTTTAGTGATAAGGGAGTGTGGTTAGTGTTAGTGATAAGTGAGTGTGGTTAGTGTTAGTGAAAAGGGAGGGCGCTTAGTGTTAGTGTAGGGTCCTGCTCAATAGTCTACATTGGCGTGGTGGCAGGCTTCATAATTTTTGGCCAAAATATGTTTTTCTATTCTTAAATATTGAATGCATGGATGACTTGGAATACACATTTCAACTTCATACAGTATATTAAGTTGTAACAGTGTTAAAATAAAAGTAAGTGCACTGAAGGCCAGTGGGCGGACTTGATGGGACAGTCGTTTGAAAAGACCTGTGGAGTGTTGGTGGGGGGTTGTGGCAGGCTTAAAGCTGTGTAAGGGGCCACAAAATTTCTGATGGCTGCCCTGCTTTTGACTGCAACTTGTGGAAACCACATTCTTGCATAGAAGCACTGCTGCTATTGCTGTTCAGAGCTATTTATTTATAACTATAAGGGCAGCCCACATCTACCTAATGCCTACTATCTTTTAAACAAAGTTCAACAAATTTTTAATATCCATGTTTAGATATTAATGGTCAGCAAAATGAACTATGGTGATACTGTTAGTGTGTCATTCAGTGCATACATTGTCATACATTCCCTATATGGTTTATGTTATGAATTTGATGCACTGTGAACTCTTCTATTTTTGAACTGAAAAACCTATTTCTTTAAAACTGTCATATTATTTAGGTGCGTATGAAGAGTGTAGTAAAAGTAGCGCAGTTAACTATTATTGGTACAGAAAAACATTAAATATAACCACAACTATCAATGAAAATGGAGATTTGCAATGGTGGATGGTGATTTCTCTAGCAGCAGCATGGAGCGCCGTATATCTGTGCACTATAAGAGGGATTCAATCTACAGGAAAGGTAATGCCTAAAAATGTTCATGTTTTATTAAACTGCGCTAATGTTTGCCTTGTTGCACATATAGCTGTTTTTTATGAATAGGATGTTATGGCAAGTTTAAGGGCCCATTCAAATATTAAAGGTCTGTTGCAGTGCATTACTGTTGGTGCATTATGCATTGGTGCAATATGCATTGGGCTGTCAATGTGCCTCAATGATAAAAAAAAAAAATGTACCTGCACCATTTCATAATGCAGCACGTCACATTGCACAGTGTATATGTTGTGTTGTGCTGCAGCGCAGGGGTGTTGCCAGCTACTGAATATGGAAAGTTAAAAGAGATACACTATCCGTTTGTATATAGAATGCTCTCTGAAATCTAATTTCTGGACTGTAAAATTGGTTCATTTAGAGACATCCCTTGTAACAGAGGCTTTTATTTCAGAGAACCCTTTCCTAAGATATTGTTAAAGTGGTATAGATCGCGCTAATCTTCTTCTTACATAATGGAGGCAGACTTTTCTTTAGTATTTGCTTTTGTTAAATATTGTAGTACAGCAAAGGCAACTCCTATATACTGTACAGTGGCGTAACCAGAGTTCTGGACGCCCGGGGGAAGAATTTTTTTTCCGCCCCCCCCCCCCCCCCTCTATCACAACACAACCGCG